CATGTTTGAAAAAAGTCCGGCTCCGCCAGGTAGCGACTCTGTAGCCTTCACATAAACAAGGTCATGTTTGAAAAAGTCCGGCTCCTTCAGGTAGCGACTCTGTAGCCTTCACATAAACAAGGTCATGTTTGAATAAAGTCCGGCTCCGCCAGGTAGCGACTCTGTAGCCCTCGCATAAACAAGGTCATGTTTGAAAAAAGTCCGGCTCCGCAAGTTAGCGACTCTGTAGCCTTCACATAAACACACACTTACACATATAATTATAAATGTACACATGCAGAGAGCGAGAAAGAAAGTGATCGAGAGAGAGAGAGAGAGAGAGAGAGAGAGAGAGATAAAGAGAGAGATAGAGAGATAGAGAGAGAGCGAGAGAGAGAGAGAGAGAGTTAGAGAGAGAGAGAGAGAAAGAGAGAAAGAAAGAGAGAAAGTATCTGTAAACTCTGTCGGAAAGTTCTGGTTGTTCATCCACTTCTGGACTGCAGTCCTGGTCTAGAACCTGAGTGTTGCGTGTGAACCCGTTTTACAGATCTGACTCATTTGTATGCAGACAGCTGGTTCTTTGCCTCTCAGGTAAATGCACTCCGATTTAGAAGGAAGCTATCAATTATTCGACTCTTACGAGACGCTTTTGGGTAGGCAGTGGGTCTATTCTTGTTTTCCTTTGTTTTTCCAGGCCTTGAAACCCACACCGGGAGAACTATAATAGAATTACCTTAGTCGTGGAAATGCTTGACAGAAGTCACAACACAGTGAGTTGAAACTTGAACAGTTAGAAAAGACAAATCGGTCGTTCTTGGCTCGGGTGTTAAGGAACCAAAGTCATTTGTGTAATAATGCGAATCCGTTTGGTATCCGCCACACACCAAAAACACACTCGGAAATTCAGTTAATTCCAAAGGTTTCTTCCAGCTCTTCATCATGTTTCTGATAAGTTGTACGTAGCGTGAGGCTCAGGGAATAGATAGTAGTACCAGTTATGCGATCTGCCTACTTTCCTGATTTCCCTATAGACTTGTGACGACATTTAACCAGGAGAGTGTATTTTTGTTTAGTCCAGGAATTATTCACCCGCACAATTGTTTCTTCAAATCAGGCACTTTTAATTTTCTTTTTTTAAAAAATTTCCTTTGACACTTGGTGAGGTAATGACAAAATCAGGCGCAAAAGAAAAGATGGCAAAGGAACGAGCTGTACTCTAAAGTAGGGCTGTGCCGAATATTCGCTTCGTATTCGCTTCGGGGCCGAATAGTGGACCCAATAACTAATCGGTATTCGGCCGAATAGTTGCGGTCGGGCCGAATACGAATAGTGGTTACCTCACAACCGTTTCTGGACTGGTGGAAAAAAAAACATCAAGACTTCCCACCTTGGTTTATACTGTGAAGCGTTATCTTTGTGCACCACCTACGAGCGTACCAAGTGCCCCTTTATTTCCATCTTGCATGTGTTGCGAGTATAGTGTTTTTAGGTGTGTTGCTGTAGAAACAAAATGCAACACTTAAAAATGTAAGAGGGACAGACAAGCAAGTGTTCTAATGTTGTCGGTTTGATTTCTTTGAGTGGAGTGTCCTCTTCGTTGATTCTTTGAAGTAACGGGAGTTCGTCATCATTTATGGGTGTCGTACCTGTTTTTTCGTCGTCTCGTGGAAACGGCAGCGGCTGAATGTTTTGATCGACTTTCGGTTTCTTGATTGTCTTTGTTGTTTGATCTTCTGGCGTTGGCCGCCCGGCGTCTGGTATCGTGAGCTCGCGGGGGGGGGGGGGGGGGGGGGGCTGGGCGACTTGTAAGGATGGCATTGTTTTCTTCGTTATTTTTGTTTTTGATGTTTCGCCTTGCGGGTTTTCATTTTGACTCTCTGTATTTGTCGTATTTTCCTGTTTAGTACAGCTAGAAATACCTTCAGTGAGACAAAAAGCTGGCCTAATGCTGACAACATGGAACGAAGGTTTTTCATGGAGGTGTGTCAGCACACGAACTAATACGTGCTGCAGGAGATCGCAGATTGTGGCAAGGCATAATCGCCCATGCCAGCCAGCAAAGCAGTTGATGATGATGATTCACTATTCGTATTCGCATTCGTATTCGGCCGAATAGTTGGTCCAGCTATTCGTATTCGGCCGAATAGTGAAAATCACTATTCGGTACAGCCCTACTCTAAAGTGGTTGAGAGTGGGGCACACATACGTGTCATACGTTCTGCCTCTTGTTTCAACAACCATTTTAACCAATAGAAGATATACTAAAAAAAAAAAAAAAACCTGAACGAGAAGCTCACCTGAGAAGTCACATATCATATTGTCTGTTTCCAAACTGTATAGTCTGTCTGCAGTCATGAATTCTATTGTCTGTTCGCACATTGTCTGGTTTGTCTGCCGCCATACATTCTATTGTCTATTCCCACATTTCGTAGTCTGCCTGAAGCCATATATTCTACTGCCTCTCTCTTACCATGTTTTTGTTATAGTTTATGTGGCGCCACTTATGTTGCTTGAAGCATCCTCTACGCTGTATTGTCTCCCAGTCGCCAAGCTTTTTGCCGTCCAGCCTCTACTAACTTATTCAGTAATGCCATTTCCTGTTCAGAACAACCTACTAAATATATTCTTCAGTTCTGTCCATCTTTTTCCTGCAGCCCTGAATATGCTCACCACTCTCTCACTCTCCTCCGTATCTTCTCCTCTATTCGATCTCATCTCCCACTCTCCTCTGTGTCTTCTCCTCTATTCGATCTCATCTGTCACTCCCTCTGGTATCCAGTATCTGTAAGAGAACGCTGGCACGAACGTCTCTTTAAATTAATGCATTCTGATCCGTTGGCCAGGTTTTCTTGTGTGCCTAAGCCAGAGTTAAGATGTATGCCTTTTAGCGTTGTATGCCAGAAGAAAGCTTTCATGATGATAGAACTGGCTTGCAGCCTATTGTGATTTTCTATTTTGTGTGTAAATATATAGAATCAGATAAAATGGCCATTGAATAAGAAATTATTTTAACAGGAGGTAGAAGACAATTTGAAAAAGGCCCAACGTTATCTCCATTTAGTTGGTTCCATAAACTGTGTACATTCAGACAGCATTTTAAATGTAGCCGCAAATTAACAAACAACACAATATCATAAATAGATCGTTCTTGTAGATTTCATACAACGGTCGAGAGTTGCACCGTGGAAGAGATACGGCCTCAACATCTGGACATGCTTTGTGGTTGTTTGGAGGTCTCATGTTTCATTCTCGGTGCCTTCACTGCAATACAGCATAACAGTTATGCCTAATATCCATGCAGGAAAAACAAAAATAATGACAATGAAACCAGCAATCTAAGTTTACCTGGTGATATCCCGCCGGACAATGTTCCGTGACACACCTGTTTGGGCAGTAATGTAGTTATGAGGGAACTGATAGCAATATTAAACAACCAAAACAAAAGGTAAGAGCATTTTTCATAAAAGTAGGAAATTTGTGGCAGCCAAGGGAAATTAAAACTAATATTTAACTGAAACTTTTCTACCAAAGTCAAATCAGTCCGGTTGTTTGGAACGGAGCACAACTAGAACAGTCACCAGTAAACGAAACAAAACACATTCATTAACTGGTGCCTGTGCAGAACAGAATAATTAAAATAGTATGATAGCATCAGCAATTTTAGGCTTCGGTAGAGAACTAAACAAATTAGATTGAATCAAACGGGGAAGAAAAAAGGACACTGGCGTTGGATAGGGCATACTATTGAAATACACGAGAACACTGTAACTAGAATGTCTTTTCACTGGAACCCACAGGAGCATATAAATCAAGAAAAACACCAAAAAAAAAAAAAAAAAAAAAAAAATAATGTAGGAAGGAGCTAGAGGGTGACGTTAAAAAGATAAGGAAAAAGATACGGGGGATATGGGGTGAGCTAATGCCATAGAAGGAGATGGGGCGATTTAGCGAGTATTGTTTGAGGGTCTATGTAATAGTGGGGAATAAAGAGCAGCAGAAGAAGTGCTGATGGTGGGGATACTGTTGTGGGCAGGGCATCGGTGGTGGTGATGATGACACCGTGAATGCCCAGCAAGCATGCACTAGTGAGGGTGTTAGTGTAAATCCTGGTGCTCCTTTCATACGTAGAATGTTTGTTTAGTCCCGAGGCATCTAAATCTGACTAGCGCCAAATCGAGCAGTCTCTAGGGTAGCCAGTATTAACCCTGGACCGGACCACACTAAAGTCCACAGAATAGGTCAGTCTATAGACCCTGGGAGACGAGGCACCAACATCTGACTAGCGCCAAATCGAGCAGTCTCTAGGGTAGCCAGCATTAACCCTGGACCGGACCACACTAAAGTCCACAAAATAGGTCAATCTATAGACCCTGAAAGACGAGGCACCAACATCTGACTAGCGCCAAATCGAGCAGTCTCTAGGGTAGCCAGCATTAACCCTGGACCGGACCACACTAAAGTCCACAGAATAGGTCAGTCTATTGACCCTGAGAGACGAGACACCAACATCTGACTAGCGCCAAATCGAGCAGTCTCTAGGGTAGCCAGCATTAACCCTGGACCGGACCACACTAAAGTCCACAGAATAGGTCAGTCTATAGACCCTGAGAGACGAGGCACCAACATCTGACTAGCGCCAAATCGAGCAGTCTCTAGGGTAGCCAGCATTAACCCTGGACCGGACCACACTAAAGTCCACAGAATAGGTCAGTCTATTGACCCTGAGAGACGAGACACCAACATCTGACTAGCGCCAAATCGAGCAGTCTCTAGGGTAGCCAGCATTAACCCTGGACCGGACCACACTAAAGTCCACAGAACAGGTCAGTCTGTAGACCCTGGTAGACGAGGCACCACCGTCTGACTGGCGCCAATTCGAGCAGACTCTAGGGTGGCCCGTATTAACCCTAGACCGGACCACACTAAAGTCCACAGAATAGGTCAGTCTATAGACCTGATAGACTATATCTGAATCCAGAATGTACCCTTCTCATCACGTTTAATTTTTTGTCTTACAACAGGAGCAATTGGGAAAGAGGAAGAGGGAGGAGGCGGCAACGAGAAAGATGATGCAGAAGCAGCAGAGATTGAAGAAGCTAGGCGGGAGATGGAGGAGAAAAGAAAAGAGAAGCACAGAAAGTTGGAGGAAGAAAGAGAAGTTATGAGACAGGGAATCCGTGATAAGGTAAGTCAGTCAGTTGTAACTGTGTTATTTATGTAATTTTTAACCTTTTTATTTTAGGTAATTTTTATATGCAGACCACTTGTTAGTTCAGTCGTGACCAACTGTTTCAGAAACAATCACGACCAACTGTTTCAGAAACAATCATGACCAACTGTTTCAGAAAAAAAAAAATCAGACCAACTGTCTTAGAAACGATCAGACCAACTGTCTCAGAAACAATCATGACCAACTGTTTCAGAAACAATCATGACCAACTGTTTCAGAAACAATCATGACCAACTGTTTCAGAAACAATCATGACCAACTGTTTCAGAAACAATCATGACCAACTGTTTCAGAAACAATCATACCAACTGTTTCAGAAACAATCATGACCAACTGTTTCAGAAACAATCATGACCAACTGTTTCAGAAACAATCATGACCAACTGTCTTAGAAACGATCAGACCAACTGTCTCAGAAACAATCGTTACCAACTGTTTCAGAAACAATCATGACCAACTGTTTCAGAAGCAATCATGACCAACTGTTTCAGAAACAATCATGACCAACTGTTTCAGAAAAAAAAAAATCAGACCAACTGTCTTAGAAACGATCAGACCAACTGTCTCACAAGCAATCATGACCAACTGTTTCAGAAACATTCATACCAAATGTTCTAAAAACAATCATGACCAACTATCTCAGAAACAATCATGACCAAATGTTTCAAAAACAATCATGACCAACTATCTTAAAAACAATCATGATCAACTGTCTCAGAAACAATCATGATCAACTGTCTCAGAAACAATCATGACCAACACTAACAACAAATAAATCATTTGAGAGTTGGTTACAAACGGTTTTTGGAGTTTGTAGTAGGTCAGTGGCACTGAGAGCTGACCGTCCAGTGGGCAATGGCAAATTACTTATCGTAAAAATTTGCCTACAAGACAACTGCTCCCCCTCCCCCCTATAGAAACTGCTAATTACTGCCTCTGTTTTACCACTTTTGCGCTGTAAGCAAGGGGGTCTTTTAGCCTGAGTAGTTACGGCTGCATGGCTAGTGCCGTCGCCACGACTGTGCAGGAGAGGATTTTTTTGTGTCCCCTGACAGAAAAAAAAAAAAAAAACCATCAGCCTTACCGAGGACTCGAACCTGGGTCTCCCGCTTATGAGCCCAGCGTTTTAACCGTTCTGTCAGAGGCTCCTAGAAAAACCACAACAGCCAAAATATGCCGGGGTTGGTTCTGCAACGTCCTGTAAAGGATACGGAACTAAAAAATGTTGATTTATTCATCATGGATCTGGTATACATTTAGGCATGTAAAGTGTTATTTGATTACTATATAACACTGAATGCTACATCCTAGATCTGCGTGTTTCTGCGTCTCATTATTGCAACAACAAATCGTGTGATACATGCAAAATTGCATACATCTGCGACAGAGTATAAGACTTCTGTAGCTGTGGCATGTGTCTTTTAGAGGTTGTCTAGCTGTCTGGTGTCTGGAGACTTCTGTAGCTGTGTGCATGTGTCTTTTAGAGGTTGTCTAGCTTCTGGTGTCTGGAGACTTCTGTAGCTGTGGCATGTGTCTTTTAGAGGTTGTCTAGCTTCTGGTGTCTGGAGACTTCTGTAGCTGTGGCATGTGTCTTTTAGTCTTTTCTGTAGAGGTTGTGTAGCTTCTGGTGTCTGGAGACTTCTGTAGCTGTGGCATGTGTCTTTTAGAGGTTGTCTAGCTTCTGGTGTCTGGAGACTTCTGTAGCTGTGGCATGTGTCTTTTAGAGGTTGTCTAGCTTCTGGTGTGGCGTGTGTCTTTTAGACTTCTGTGTCTGGAGCTGCTGTGGCATGTGTCTTTTAGAGGTTGTCTAGCTTCTGGTGTCTGGAGACTTCTGTAGCTGTGGCATGTGTCTTTTAGAGGTTGTCTAGCTTCTGGTGTCTGGAGACTTCTGTAGCTGTCTAGCTTCTGGTGTCTGGAGACTTCTGTAGCTGTATCATGTGTGTCTTTTAGAGGTTGTCTAGCTTCTGGTGTCTGGAGACTTCTGTCGCTGTGGCATGTGTCTTTTAGAGGTTGTCTAGCTTCTGGTGTCTGGAGACTTCTGTAGCTGTGGCATGTGTCTTTTAGAGGTTGTCTAGCTTCTGGTGTCTGGAGACTTCTGTAGCTGTGGCATGTCTAGCTTCTGGTGTCTTTTAGAGGTTGTCTAGCTTCTGGTGTCTGGAGACTTCTGTAGCTGTGGCATGTGTCTTTTAGAGGTTGTCTAGCTTCTGGTGTCTGGAGACTTCTGTAGCTGTGGCATGTGTCTTTTAGAGGTTGTCTAGCTTCTGGTGTCTGGAGACTTCTGTAGCTGTGGCATGTGTCTTTTAGAGGTTGTCTAGCTTCTGGTGTCTGGAGACTTCTGTAGCTGTGGCATGTGTCTTTTAGAGGTTGTCTAGCTTCTGGTGTCTGGAGACTTCTGTAGCTGTGGCATGTGTCTTTTAGAGGTTGTCTAGCTTCTGGTGTCTGGAGACTTCTGTAGCTGTGGCATGTGTCTTTTAGAGGTTGTCTAGCTTCTGGTGTCTGGAGACTTCTGTAGCTGTGGCATGTGTCTTTTAGAGGTTGTCTAGCTTCTGGTGTCTGGAGACTTCTGTAGCTGTGGCATGTGTCTTTTAGAGGTCTAGCTTCTGTCTAGACTTCTGTAGCTGTGGCATGTGTCTTTTAGTTCTGGAGACTGGAGACTTCTGTAGCTGTGGCATGTGTCTTTTAGAGGTTGTCTAGCTTCTGGTGTCTGGAGACTTCTGTAGCTGTGGCATGTGTCTTTTAGAGGTTGTCTAGCTTCTGGTGTCTGGAGACTTCTGTAGCTGTGGCATGTGTCTTTTAGAGGTTGTCTAGCTTCTGGTGTCTGGAGACTTCTGTAGCTGTGGCATGTGTCTTTTAGAGGTTGTCTAGCTTCTGGTGTCTGGAGACTTCTGTAGCTGTGGCATGTGTCTTTTAGAGGTTGTCTAGCTTCTGGTGTCTGGAGACTTCTGTAGCTGTGGCATGTGTCTTTTAGAGGTTGTCTAGCTTCTGGTGTCTGGAGACTTCTGTAGCTGTGGCATGTGTCTTTTAGAGGTTGTCTAGCTTCTGGTGTCTGGAGACTTCTGTAGCTGTGGCATGTGTCTTTTAGAGGTTGTCTAGCCTCTGGTGTCTGGAGACTTCTGTAGCTGTGGCATGTGTCTTTTAGAGGTTGTCTAGCTTCTGGTGTCTGGAGACTTCTGTAGCTGTGGCATGTGTGTCTTTTAGAGGTTGTCTAGCTTCTGGTGTCTGGAGACTTCTGTAGCTGTGGCATGTGTGTCTTTTAGAGGTTGTCTAGCTTCTGGTGTCTGGAGACTTCTGTCGCTGTGGCATGTGTCTTTTAGAGGTTGTCTAGCTTCTGGTGTCTGGAGACTTCTGTAGCTGTGGCATGTGTCTTTTAGAGGTTGTCTAGCTTCTGGTGTCTGGAGACTTCTGTAGCTGTGGCATGTGTCTTTTAGAGGTTGTCTAGCTTCTGGTGTCTGGAGACTTCTGTAGCTGTGGCATGTGTCTTTTAGAGGTTGTCTAGCTTCTGGTGTCTGGAGACTTCTGTAGCTGTGGCATGTGTCTTTTAGAGGTTGTCTAGCTTCTGGTGTCTGGAGACTTCTGTAGCTGTGGCATGTGTCTTTTAGAGGTTGTCTAGCTTCTGGTGTCTGGAGACTTCTGTAGCTGTGGCATGTGTCTTTTAGAGGTTGTCTAGCTTCTGGTGTCTGGAGACTTCTGTAGCTGTGGCATGTGTCTTTTAGAGGTTGTCTAGCTTCTGGTGTCTGGAGACTTCTGTAGCTGTGGCATGTGTCTTTTAGAGGTTGTCTAGCTTCTGGTGTCTGGAGACTTCTGTAGCTGTGGCATGTGTCTTTTAGAGGTTGTCTAGCTTCTGGTGTCTGGAGACTTCTGTAGCTGTGGCATGTGTCTTTTAGAGGTTGTCTAGCTTCTGGTGTCTGGAGACTTCTGTAGCTGTGGCATGTGTCTTTTAGAGGTTGTCTAGCTTCTGGTGTCTGGAGACTTCTGTAGCTGTGGCATGTGTCTTTTAGAGGTTGTCTAGCTTCTGGTGTCTGGAGACTTCTGTAGCTGTGGCATGTGTCTTTTAGAGGTTGTCTAGCTTCTGGTGTCTGGAGACTTCTGTAGCTGTGGCATGTGTCTTTTAGAGGTTGTCTAGCTTCTGGTGTCTGGAGACTTCTGTAGCTGTGGCATGTGTCTTTTAGAGGTTGTCTGTTTTAGAGGTTGTGGTGTCTGGAGACTTCTGACTGTGGCGTGTGTCTTTTAGAGGTTGTCTAGCTTCTGGTGTCTGGAGACTTCTGTAGCTGTGGCATGTGTCTTTTAGAGGTTGTCTAGCTTCTGGTGTCTGGAGACTTCTGTAGCTGTGGCATGTGTCTTTTAGAGGTTGTCTAGCTTCTGGTGTCTGGAGACTTCTGTAGCTGTGGCATGTGTCTTTTAGAGGTTGTCTAGCTTCTGGTGTCTGGAGACTTCTGTAGCTGTGGCATGTGTCTTTTAGAGGTTGTCTAGCTTCTGGTGTCTGGAGACTTCTGTAGCTGTGGCATGTGTCTTTTAGAGGTTGTCTAGCTTCTGGTGTCTGGAGACTTCTGTAGCTGTGGCATGTGTCTTTTAGAGGTTGTCTAGCTTCTGGTGTCTGGAGACTTCTGTAGCTGTCTGGAGACTGTCTGTAGCTGTGTCTGGAGACTGTGTGGCTTGTTAGAGGTTGTCTAGCTTCTGGTGTCTGGAGACTTCTGTAGCTGTGGCATGTGTCTTTTAGAGGTTGTCTAGCTTCTGGTGTCTGGAGACTTCTGTAGCTGTGGCATGTGTCTTTTAGAGGTTGTCTAGCTTCTGGTGTCTGGAGACTTCTGTAGCTGTGGCATGTGTCTTTTAGAGGTTGTCTAGCTTCTGGTGTCTGGAGACTTCTGTAGCTGTGGCATGTGTCTTTTAGAGGTTGTCTAGCTTCTGGTGTCTGGAGACTTCTGTAGCTGTGGCATGTGTCTTTTAGAGGTTGTCTA